CTGGTATCTATCCCAGCTTGGTGAAGCTCGTCAACATATTGAAGTGCCTCTCGACATTCCACACGATCATCAAAATACTCTTTCTTCTCCCCTTCTAATTGAAACGTTTCATGACCTTTGCCAGCAACCACCTGTGAACAATCCAAATGATCGCCACTGAGAAGAATTTCGTTTGCATGGGGATTGATTGAAGGAGACACAACACATTTCAAGAATTTGAAAGATTTTAATTATCTTCTCAAGTTATTCTCAACCATGAGGTGGAAACAGATTTCTAGCTCCAAGAAATGCCTGCCCATGTTTTTTTTTTCTTTTTTTTGGCCGAAAAAAAAAAGGGACTTACAACCACGTCTCCTTCTTCGCCCATGGCAACTGCACATCTCACGGCTACAAGTCTAATATCGTGCAAAAAAAGCCTATGCCCATTACGAAGAGGTGGATAGTAATCATTATCTCCATATTTCAAGTAATCTTGCATTGACCACCCTACCCCAGTTAGCATGTCGTCCAAAATGTCCACTGGTAAACAAAATATCACCAAAAAAAGAAAATTAAAAATTAAAAGAGAAGGAAAAAAGTGTTACGGCCTTATTGAACATTATGAAATATGTTTGTCAACTAACTGGTCTACTATTCTTCTTCTTCTTCTTTATTTTTTTATTTTTCAATTACCTGCAGTCAATAAGACAAATTCATTTCACTGAAGTATTCTCAAGCACTTACAAGGATCTTCATTTCCCGGATTGTCTGATGTCAAGATTGTGACATCACTTTTCTCTGTAGCTATCTTTGTCATCAGGGGCCTCTTCCCTCTATCCTTTTCACCAGCACAACCGAACACTAAATAAATCAAAGGAGAATCATGTCAGGTTTGAAATGGGGATGGATTCCCAAGGATTGTGCCCGTACAAGCAATGATGATTAATGTTACCGTGTCATGATTCAATACGTGCTTCTTAGTTCACAATCAAAATTAGAAAATAATATAATAAATATTAATAATAACAGCCAGCAGCAACAACAACAACAATGACTAGTTGTCAAGAAAAAACAACTGCTTTATGTAACAACAATTT